GTAAATCTGGGAGAACAATTAAAAAATGTTCTTCACTCATCAATAATACCATTAAAAAAATCATCCAATACAATTATGTTATTATTCACAATAAAAAAAACAATAAAGATGACAAATCCATACGAAATTCACGCGAAAGAAATATTTTGTTGAGAGGATCAGCTTTATTTGGCAGGGAGTAATCAACACCGAGGGGAGCTTTGTTTGTCAAGTGTGTTCTTGCTTTCTAATAAAGGGCAATGAGTTCCCGAAAACTCACAATTTGGGAGTGAGCGTTACACTCAAGACTGAGTGTGCGCCTATACTTTTTGATAGAATTGAGCTGAGCCTGGCCTAGCACACAATTAGTTCCTTGTTCTGATAATAATCCAATTATGTAACTGTACCCAGCTCAAGTAGTAACACCTAGATGTCTGGATAACAAATGTTACACTTGAAACGCTCCTAACAGCGGTCTACACAAATAATCCTAGTTCATGTCGTGGAATCATAAAATGTGAAGCAACTCATAAACTCTAGGCACAAAACAGAAGATAGGTTGATGAGGGATCTAAGCCAAGAAATAATACAATTCATTTCCTAATAGAAAGGCTAACCGAGGAGTACGGAGAAGCTTGGGTAATTTTGTACTCGGCTCGGCAACCTAGATATTTGCCTCTGAGCACTCAGGCATATACTCTGTTCAATGTCTACGAGTTTTGAAACGACGAAGCCAATCGCTTCTAAGTGAACGGAGAAGAGCCTTTCAGGAGTGATACACGAGACCAGACAAGCACCGCAGGGGAAGCAGGGATTCGACCAGTATCATTATTGTATCACAGCTATAGCGATCATGACAGCGATCAACGGTCGTGCCGGGGAATTTCCAGAATCGGAAGCGGCGACTCGAACGGCGCGCCGATCATGAGCAGTAGTTCGAGCACATTGACGCCGTCGCGACTCACAGTGCTGTCGCGACGGATAGAAGTCGTGGCCCGATGTGGATGTTCGCGTCATGTCGCCATCAGTGACGATACCACGAAGATCGCATGGGTGTACACAACCACACCTGGATGCTTCTGGCTCCTGTGGTAACGGAATATCCAGATCTGAAAAGA